ATCATCTCTTTCTCTATGAGATTCTTAAATTACTTAATGATAATCTTAGAGGGATTATGACTTCTCTACCATAGACTTTTCTCTAATATATATATATATATATATATATATATATATATATATATATATATTTGTCATCCCATAAGTTCTGTCCGAATTTGGAATAAAGAAAACAAGTAACCAAATGTTACATTTAATTACAGATTCAATCAACAATGTATTTTCCCTGATTATCTATGACTTCCTTCCATCTATTAACAAGCTTACTAATTCCATTACTGTAAAATTCTTTTGGCTTTGATTCGAAGAACTCACAAATGTCAGTTTTAAATTCTTCCTGTGTTACAAAAGCTGTTTCTTCCAAAACAAATAGTTGTCTGAAGGAGCAAGATCGGGAGAATAAGGTGGATGAGGAATTTTCTCCCAACCGAGTTCTCCGATCTTTTGTGACGGGATTCTTGCTGTGTGGGGTCGCGCATTGTCCTGATGAAACATCACCCCTTTTCGATTCACTAAAGCAGGTTTTTTCCCCTCAAAGCTTGGTTCAAACGCTCTAATTGCTGACAGTATATTTGAGCATTAATTGTTGTATTAGGTGGTATGAATTGAAAGTTGATTATTCATTGGAGATCCCACCAGATTTAAAGAAGAAACTTTTGCCTATGAAGTTCCCTTCTCGGTTGTGGCTGGGGTCCTTCCCCTTTACCAAGCCATTGTCTATGACGCTTAACATTTCGGTAAAGATCCATTTTTCGTCGCCAGTCACAAGTCTATCCAAAAAAGGTGAAACAAGTTGGCGAGAATGGAGAGAAGAGCAGATGTCAACTCGGGATTTGAGGTTGTTTTCAGACAATTCATAAGTCACCCATTTTACAAGTTCAAGAAACTTTTCATCAAACACAACTGGACGTCCGGTTCGATCTTTATCTTCAAGGGTAAAATCTCGATTAATAATAAAATAATAATAAGAAAAATATACTAGTATAAACGGTCTTCTCAGAACAAACATATAGACGCTTGTGCGGGCGTTGGTAACAGGGATTGGCTTGGCGATCCACTCTAGCAGAAGGGCTTAGAAAGGAACTTCGGCTTTACATTATATATATATATATATATATATATATATATAATAAAAAGGCTTAAACACTAATGTTCCATGGACATAATTTATTCCATTGGAATCGGAAATACGATCCAATTCATCAGAACTATAAATTCAAAAAGAAAAAAGAAAAAACAACTCCAGGAATAAAAAATAAAATTTAATGAGAGTGTATGTATGAGAGTTGGGGACGAATGGGAGTAAATGAAAGCTATAGGGAGGGGTAACAGACGAGAGAAGAACAGAAAGGTCTAAAGGTGAAGTTGGGGATTAAAATTTAACAGAGAGAAGTTTTAAAGAGGCGAGTCAAAGACGGTTTAGTTGAGAGATATATGAATATTCTCGAATGTCTAAAATACATTAAGGATACATTTTGTGGTGACATACACACACAATAGACGATTTAAACTTAAAGATCAGAACATGAGAGGGGGGGAGAAAAGAAACAACTAATAATATCTATCTATCTATCTATCTATCTATCTATCTATCTATCTATATATATATATATATATATATATATATATATATATAGCTTCATTAAAGACGACAGAATAGGTACTGCGATGAAGCATTTTTATAAAGATTTCTTGCATTCATAAAAGTACTTTTTCTGGACATATTATATTTCCACAAAAGAAAATAATTATTCAAATGTTCTTTATCGAAGACCGCTTTTGGCTATTCTATATAAATAGACTTTATGTCCAGAAAAGAAAAAAAATGAATAAGCTCAATCACAGGACCTTATCAATTTCCTTTGTTGAAACATGTATAAAAGAAGAATTGCTCTCCGAATACACACACACACACACACACATACACACATATATATATATATATATATATATATATATATATATATATATGTGTGTGTATGTATGTATGTGTGCGTATGTATAGTAAAGTTAATAAATCCGTTAGTATATATATATATATATATATATATATATATATATATATATATATATATATATATATGTACAGATTACAGTTCAGAAGTTTGAAGCGACGCCCGGTATTTTTTTTTTTTTTTTTTTAAATTGGCCCAAAATATAAGTTTTGTATTTAAATAACAGAAAATTATTATACATGGTTAAGAAAAGCGAGACATGATTTTTAATTAGCAATTTTATTATTACAAAAAAACAAAACAAAAAACAAAAACATTTTATGATTAAATTTTACTCTCGTCAAAATGTCCTCCTTCAGCCTTGATTACTGCAGCAGAAATTATTTGGCATTTATTGCAAAAGTTTCTCAATGTATTATTGATTCCATTCTTTTTTCAACGACTCTTTTCGGCGTCTTTTCGTTTTTTTCTTCTGTCGAGCACATCTAATGCTAATTCTGGATGGGGGTGCTTCAAACTTTTGAACTGTAGTGTGTATAATATATATATATATATATATATATATATATATATATATATATAAGAATTAATGGATTTATTTTTTAATTTGACATTATATTTCTTCAAACGTGCTTACTCGAAATTTTCTCGAGGGTGCCGCCCGCTAGACGTAATAAATACTGCTTGAAAAAAGAGGCGTCAATGCAAATACAAATTACTTTATATATATTTCGATGGCAAAACCGTTTACCCGACGAGGATTTTCTGGTGAGGGGTATAGCTAGACATCCAGTATGTTTAATAAAAAGACAAAGGGCGAATAAAAACTTTCATGGCATCGTCGGCCGGGTGTGGGGATGTACAAATACCCGGGTTGGTGTCTCGAAGCGTGGTAAGCCAACTAAGAATGATAGACACCTTAACCACGTTATTGAATTTTAATATATATTATATAGCTGGCTACTTGTATCCGAGGATACCCGTCTACTAGGGTTGCTAGACAATCCCTATTGCATACGCTTGCTCAGGCGCATTTGTGCTTATTCAACACCCACATGGCCCACCTGTGGTTTATACTGCATCTATGTTGAGCAGACCTTAGTTACACTTTCTGGGAAAGATCTGTTATCTAGCGTGATAAATAATTTGAACAAGGCCAGCACGCTGACGCCCTCGTGTTAGTACAGCTAATGACGGCCCCCAAGGGCCTCAAGCCGTGGTATGGTTTTCATGCACTTTCCAAAGGTGCCGCTCGCTGGGATCGATCCCTCCAGTCCGATAACATCAGGAAGTCTCCTTCCTGACAAATCGACTATGGTGAGATTCGAACCCGGGTCTAATAGTCAGAATGCGAAAGTACTAATCACTCGGCTACGAACAAGAGAAAGACCAAACTGATGTTACTGTTAGACATTTTCATGACGGTCGTCTTCGAGTATAGAATCCAGAGGTTGTCAGTGAATATTTCGGAGACAGTAGGAAAGCGTAGTGCAGGTTCGCAGTGGATATCGCAGCAAAGTAGCAGAGCGTAGTTCTCCCGTCTGTCATGTTCGCCGGACAAGTTGCCTCTGGTCATCCAGGTAAAAAACAAAGATGGCCGCCTTTATACACGACGGATACAATGTTCTGCGGCTTCTGATTGGTTAATCTTCTATTGGTAGACTATAAAGGGAATTAAGTCATTTTGACTCGCTCACTAGTTACATATATAATATACACAAAAAACCGTAACAGTTACAAGTGCGACGCTGTCTGCTACATAATTTCGAATTCATTCTATATATTCCTGGACTGGTTGCTATCCAAGTCTGCCCTCTTATTTGAACCAAAGCTGGGATAAGAGGAAAGGAATGGATAAATGCCTTTCTCACAGATACATTCTACTTTTGCACCAATAAACGTTGCGATAAAGATGTTGAGGTTACCATGGTCCAAACATGTGAGCAATGACGAGATTTTGAAGAGAATGGAAACAAAGAGGAAACTTATACTTAGCATCAGGAAGAGACAGTTTCTGGAGCACATTATAAGGATGGAAGGCTTGGAAAATTTGATACTCACAGAACAGTTAGCTGGAAAGAGTGGAAGATGAAAGCAGCCCGTGACCTACATGATGGGCTTGAGCAAATAGATGGTGGGACAGGGTTTAGGAGAAATAACCATAAGACAATATTATTAATAGCTACTAGGGAAAGGAAGATATGGAGAGCCATGATCGCCTATGTCTTGAAGTGACACGGCGAATAAAAGAAGAAAGAAGAATTACAAATTATTATAGGTCTTAACCAAGGCAAACGTCTTGGTAATTTCGTGAGATTTAGACGCTCTGAGTGCACCATATTTATGCTCTTGTGTCATACATGATATGGTTAATAAATATCCGAGCACATTATTCAGCACGAATGTGGCTAAGAAACCATAACACAGTCGATGACACAAGAGTAAAAAACAGAAATATGACGAGTAGAAAATTTCAATTTAGAAATATCTTCATAAATAAATGTTTTCTATAAAATTATCAAAATGGTTTAATTTTTTTGATACTATAAAGTGATTTGTTTTCATTCTGAGATCGAAAAGAAAATGAACAGCATAGGTTCCTAAAAAGTAATATAATTATATAATTTATGACTATAATGATATCATGTATGAACATAAAGATATCAAGTATGAATATAATGATATCATGGATGGACATAATGATATCATGTCAGAATGTCACGATATCATGTCTGAATATAATGATATTATGTATGTATATGTAATGATATCATGTATGAACATAATGATATATATGGATATAATATCATGATGTCATGTATGAATATAATATCATATATATATTTATTAATATAACTGTTGTGGCCTTGCTAGGGCCAGAAATAAAGACACAAAGATAGGAAGTGAGTTAAACAAGAAACGTCATACAAACATATCAAACGAGTATTACAGCAAGAATTTTCTGTCCGACTGACAGAGCTAACTGCTGGAAACTTCGCCCTTCCAAAAGGCAGTACCTGCTCCTATTTATAGCTGGGAGATTCCATGCGTGCGTGGGTAAATTACCATAACACTATCTCTGTGTTTTTATCTATCTATCTATCTATCTATCTATCTATCTATCTATCTATCTATCTGTTGTGGCCTTGTTAGGGCCCGAAATAAAGACACAAGAGAGGAACTGAGTTAATAAAATATATTAACAGAAACAGTAATACAAACATATACAAACGAGAGTGTTACAGCAAGAATGTTTGGTCCGACTGTCAGAGCTGACTGCTGGAAACTTCCCTCTCTAAAAAGCAGTACCTGCTCCTATTTATAGCTGAATCCATGCGTGCGTGGGTAAATTGACATAACAATTGCTATAACGAATTAAATGCTATAAGAATAGAAACCAAGAATTATCCTGTTATCCTGAACGGCCACTCCAGGTCCTTTCGTTCTCATGCAGGTGGGTTCACCAGAGCTCCACCCTTGGTCCTCCTCATGGATTCAGCTCTCAACTTGGTATCTACGCTCATGACACAACCATGATGAAAGGGAAACTGGCAAATTCCAGCCTCGTCTGTTGTCTTCACACTACCCTAATACATTTAGACAAAAGGAGCATCACTTTCTCCCCGCTCTTGGCTATAGGTTATATAGCATTTGGTGAGAACCAGTTCGGGCGAAGGCCTGCACCGAAGGGATACATCGTGGCAGAACGAAAACAGCAAAAATCACTCCGCTATATTTACCAAAATGTCACGTCAATTCACAGACAAAGAAATGGAATCTGTGGAGAACTATAGATGCACATGTTCTAACTTTGTTTTAAATAATAAAAACCAAAATTTTAGGATGCTTCGCAGGAACATTTAATGACATTTCGCTTAGCGATGCGCATCTCGTTTTTAATTGATATAAGACCGACCGTAATGCATTGCAGGTAGTGGTGGCAACGTAGCGTCTTCGCACGAATCGATTCTGAAAATAAAAGCTTAGCGAACCGGTTGCTGGATAATCCGAAAATAATCTTGTATATTAATAGCCGATGGTCGAGGTAAAATGTTAGTTACTCTACGCTCCCACGCGCGCCTAGTAAAACTCTAATGGACACACGCCACCCACCGTTTTGAAGTTAAAAATGTCGTAAATCTTCTAGTCATAAATTTGATAGGTCTTCCATTGAATCGTTGGAACTGCTGCTATTCAGCACGAATGTTGCTAAGAAACCATAACACAGTCGATGACACAAGAGTAAAAAACAGAAATATGACGAGTAGAAAATTTCAATCTAGAAATATCTTCATAAATAAATGTTTTCTATAAAATTATCAAAATGGTTTAATTTGTTTTGATACTATAAAGTGATTTGTTTTCATTCTGAGATCGAAAAGAAAATGAACAGCATAGGTTCCTAAAAAGTAATATAATTATATAATTTATGACTATAATGATATCATGTATGAACATAAAGATATCAAGTATGAATATAATGATATCATGGATGGACATAATGATATCATGTCAGAATATAACGATATCAAATCTGAATATAATGATATTATGTATGTATATGTAATGATATCATGTATGAACATAATGATATATATGGATATAATATCATGATGTCATGTATGAATATAATATAATATATATATATATATATATATAATGATATCATGTATGAATATGATACCATGTATGTATATATAATAATATCATGTATGAACATAATGATATCTTGTATGTACATAATGATATCATGGCTGGATAAAATGATATCGTGTATAAATGATATGAATAAATATAATGATATCATGTATGAATATAATATCATGTATGAGTTTAATAATATGTATATATATTGTGATATGCATGAACATAATATCATGTATGAATAAAATGATATAGTGTATCTATATATAATGATATATATGAATATAATGATATCATGCATGCATATAATAATATGTATATAACTATATCATGCATGTATATATAATGATATCTATAGATATAATGATATGTATGTATATATAATGATATCATGTATAAATATAGTGATATCATGTATGAATATATTGATACAATGCATGAAGATAATGATAACATGTCCTGCAACTTGATAAGGATTTTGCTAGTATTTTTTAAAATTTATTTTGAAACGCTATAGAGTCTGTTATCAACTGATTTTACGGTAGTTAATAAAAGAACAAAGAAACATATTTTCTTACCGTGCGGAAGGAATTTTTTCTTAAAAATGGTTTGAGTTGTACTTACCTAAAAAGAAAGAAAAGTATCTGGTTAGACAGGGGTTATCAACAAGGGTTTCGGTTGAAAAGAGGAAATCTTTAAATTAATCTTGCTTTTTTTTTGTTTACAGAATTTTGTTTATTGAATTACAATATCTTGACATTGAAATATTCTTTAGTTTATTTATTTAATAATTAGTTATGAATCTCTGTTGTGGAGTAGTTTTCACCGTGGAGGCTTGTATTTCAAGAAGTCGTCCTAAATTAGGTTCAACGTACAAAACGTTAGGAACATGAAAATAAGAGTTGACGCAGCAATCTAGTTGGTACTTCAATGTCCGATATCGTCTGACGCGCTCAACACCACTCTGACTCGAACTGGCGACTGCTACTACTTCTTATTATCTATGGGAGAGTCCATTACAATAGAATAGGTAATATGGCATGACAATCTCTATATAAAATTCTCTGACTTTCGTTCATCTGTCCGTCCGTCACACCCTCTTAAATATTCATACCTTGAGCAATTGAAAGAAAACTTTGGGGAGAAGTTCAAACAGATAAGCGGATACAAGATACAATTTTTTTTTATTCGTACAATAATTTTTCATTAATTTGTTCGAAAATTGAAATTTTATTATTTAAATATTCTCACTGTTTTCAAAACAATTTAATGATTGAAATATCAAATACTTATTTAATGATTGAAATATCAAATACTTATTTAATGATTGAAATAAAAAATACTTATTTAATGATTGAAATATCAAATACTTATTTAATGATTGAAATAACAAGTACTTATTTAATGATTGAAATATCAAATACTTATTTAATGATTGAAATAAAAAATACTTATTTAATGATTAAAATATCAAATACTTATTTAATGATTGAAATATCAAATACTTATTTAATGATTGAAATATCAAATACTTATTTAATGATTGAAATAAAAAATACTTATTTAATGATTAAAATATCAAATACTTATTTAATGATTGAAATATCAAATACTTATTTAATAAAAATGCAATATTATTTCACTTTTCATATCTTTTTCTTTATTCTTTTTTATATACGAAAATTCAGTTTCTAATGCGTCCTGCATTTGCGAGGACTATAAACACCTCACCAGGCCAAACTCTTGAAAAAGTTAGAATTTGGCTCCAGAAAGAAATATTTACGCATGGTCAGCTATATGTTGCATGCTCAAGAGTAAGAAATCCTATGAATTTATTATTTGCTTTTGAAAAGGAAGAAAAATGTTGTTTACCATGAAACCCTATAAAATTCCTCGATTGTTTTGCGACATTGAACGAAATGTATAGTTTGTAAATCTCGACAAAAATATGTTAGTGAGAACTTCAACAATACTAAATACTGTGTTGCGTGTTGCAAAAACCTTCTAGGTAAAACAAATTACTGTATATGTATCCAATTTTAAAAATCCATCGACCTTGTCTATTGCTGTTTTTGTAAAACTCATCTACAAAAAATAATCCATGTAAATATATATGCCATAATATGGCAAAGAATGAAGATATTCAATAATGTGTATATATTATTTGGAATTAGTAGGAAAATCTTCGAAAGCGGGGAATAACATTCTGACTTATGGTGAAAAGGGTGAATTGAACAGAAAAAGATTGAGAACCACCAGGTTAGAATGTCAGAAACATATAAAAATGGCTAAAAGAAAAGACAGCAATTTCGACTGTTCAATCAAGAAAGAATTTTCAGTGGAAAAACCAGAAATAGCATGCCAATAATGTGCATATATAACTGTCACGAGTTATCTCCCTTGGTATAGACAGCAGAACGAAAAATGTCTACTCCCATTGATTTAACGTTATGACAATTACAATCTAGTTGTGGACAGCAGTTGGCACACATAAGCCTATTATAAAGGGATATATATATATATATATATATATATATATATATATATATATATATATGAAGAAATATAGTTTTAAGGTATGCTATATTTATGGGATAAAAGTGCTCAATATCAGAGATAGAGAGTATGTATGTATAAAAGTGAAAGTTGAAGTCAACACTCAGAGGCGACAGGCTGTTTCATGCTAAACGCAACCATCAGTCCACATTGTGTTTTTCTCGATTATATATACGGGTCAGTGGTGCATGGTGGGTAATCTGTTCTAACGGTATTTTTGGAGTGGTTTCTAATCCAAAATAAATAAATAATGTAAATAATAAACAAATTAACAACAAAAACAGACTATCATTATTGTTTCGTCCGTGTATTGTTTTGATATATTGAAATGTAATTGCCATCTTTGCTAATGCTTATGAAAACCGATTGGATTTAAACATGTACCAATATGGTGATTTCCTTTCGTCTATCAATGATAATGTTATTAAGCTTATCAAACAATATGGAAGGAACTTACTTAAAATAAATAGACAAAACGTGTCTCTATTAATGAAACATGCATTAATGAAAAATTGCTGCCTAAATACACACACACACACACACACACACACACACACACACACACACACATATATATATATATATATATATATATATATATATATATATATATATATAAATAAAAAAGTTTAAAACACTAATATACCATGGTCATAATTTATTCCATTGGAATTGTAAATACGATCCAATTCATCAGACCTACAAATTCAAAAAAAGCAAACAGAAAAAAACAACTTTGGATCGTATTTACGATTCCAATGGAATAAATTATGACCATGGTATATTAGTGTTTAAGCGCCTTTTATTATATCCTTACCCTGTCCTGACATTGATTCTATCCCCTTGGAATTATTTTTTATACAAATATATATGTATGAATGTATATATATTTATATATTTTAGATATATGATTGCATATGTATGTGCATATTTACCACTAATATTATCTATCTATCTATCTATCTATCTATCTATATATATATATATATATATATATATTTGTAGTGGATAGTTACAATCGAAAGGGAGATGGTATGTGTTTATTTTATGATCATATGTACCGGATGTAACAGCAAAACTGTCCAAATCGTATTATAGCATGATTACCTATCCCACAAAATGTTTAATTTGTAAAAAACACTAAACTCATTGAGTTTCCTTTTTATAGGTTTGCAGATAAAAGGTTTAGCTATCTTGACGCCATTTGTCATGAGAATCACTGCAAAACACTTTGATTCATTCAGCTAGAAAGAGAAGAGGCTGAAACATTTTATGACAACACCACTATGTCTTCCACACTGAGCAATGGTGAGAGGAAAAAGAACATTCAGGACATTCAGTAATGGTACCTACATTCATATTCTGGCTTTTTCAAGAACCATCAATAGAACGGTGAATATGTTTAAAAAAGAGGAAGCAGTAGGAAGGAAAACTGGATCAGGAAGTCACAACAAGAAGAGGAATCATCTTTTCAACTTAGAAGTAAATACATTCTCATTGTTCAAAGTAGAGTCCAATAGTTTCATAAAAACCTCGGAGAATTCCAGTAGGATATCTTTAATCATTTCTAAGATACAGTGATTCAAAGCTTAATCTAAGAATAGGCCAATTTTGCTGTTGCACCTGATATATATATATATATATATATATATATATATATATATATATATATATATATATTATTATTATTATATGCTTGAGTAAAGTGAGAGTTTTTATGATCAGATTTTACACAAAAAGTTCGCACTCTACACAGATTATTTTTTGAAGGGTTTAATTTTCCTGCATTTTCATTGACTGTAACCTACCTGAGGTTTGTTTTTGTTTTGTTTTGTCTTGTGGCATATCAACCTGAATGGGTTATTTAATACCGACAAAATTTTTATTCCGGTAATATGATTTTTCTTCAAAAATCTATTTCTGGGAATATTTTTCCTTGTGGAAATCTATAGCTGGTCATATATTTTTCAAAGAATGTATAGCTGTTTTTTATTGCTGTTTTTTTTTTTGTTTTATTTTTTTAAGTATTGCTAATAATAATTTTTCCTTCAAAAATTATTGCTGGTAATATTTTTTTATTACAAAATATTTGTGGTATTAAAAAGTATTTTTACACAAGTTTAGGTGTTAACTATTTGCCCATAGCTGGGACCCTAACAGGTGCCACCACCCCGAGTCAAGATGGACCTGGGAACACCAGCAATTAAAAGGTACTTCCATGCTCCTCGAAACCTCCTGATCAGAGGCCTTGCTGTTGGATGTAGTTTATCGTCATACCCAGGACGTGGATGTAGTTTATCGTCATGCCCAGGAACGGCTACTTGAGTAAGCCTACATTCTCACGGTGCCTTTGGTTAACATTACCGGTAATGGTAAGCTCATCTAGACAGTACCCCATAGATTAGATTAATTTTTTGTACTGACAAAAGGAAGAAACTTCAGCCACGTAGGGGCAAGGTTCAGGATAAAAGAGTTACCGTAGTCCAGCATGAACCAAAACATAAATACGGTATCTAAGTCTAAGATATTTTACGGTGTTTTTCTCACCATTATTGGGGTAGCTTTGTACAAAAAGAATGAAGACAGTTTACTTGCTATAATTATGTCCAGGATATTGATATATTGCCATATTTGTTAACGGTAGGCCTACTATCAGGTCATCCCATAAGTTCTGTTCGAATTTTGAATAAAGAAAACAAGTGACCAAATCTTACATTTAATTACAGATTCAATCAACAATGTATTTTCCCTGATTATCTATGACTTCCTTCCATCTATTAACAAGCTTACTAATTCCATTACTGTAAAATTCTTTTGGCTTTGATTCGAAGAACTCACAAATGTCAGTTTTAACCTCTTCCTGTGATACAAAAGCTGTTTCTTCCAAATGATACTGTAAGCTACGAAACAAATGGTAGTCTGAAGGAGCAAGATCGGGAGAATAAGGTGGATGAGGAATTTTCTCACAACCAAGTTCTTCGATCTTTTGTGACGTGATTCTTACTGTGTGAGGTCGCGCATTGTCCTGATGAAACATCACCTCTTTTCGATTCATTAGAGCAGGTCTTTTTTTCCTCAAAGCTTGGTTCAAACTCTCTAATTGCTGACAGTATATTTGAGCATTAATTGTTGCATTAGGTGGTAAGAATTCAAAGTTGATTATTCCTTGGCGATCCCACCAGATTGAAAGAAGAAACTTTTGCCCATGAAGTTCCCTTCTCGGCTGTGGCTGGGGTCCTTCCACTTTACCAAGCCGCTGTCTACGACGCTTAACATTTCGATAAAAATAATGTTCAGCTCCATTAGACATTATAAAATACTCTTTCAATTTCATTCATTTTAACAAAAAGTTAAAATTCGGACAGAACTTATGGGATGTATTACTTACTGTTATATTCCGTGCTAATAAGATCATCACTGGAACAACATGTTGGGTAACTAAATAAAGGTTATTATAAAACCGTTAGTGAATGCTACTGTTTGTAAAGTTGAATTGTTATCGAGTACGTCGGAGTCGTAATCAACAGATCCCAGCAAATCTCTCGTAGTCAGATGGGTTTATAGGTACTTACTACCTATAGTGGATACTTATCTGACCCAGGGCTCCGTCCCTGTGCTGGTGGTATCACGGCTATGACCAGCTTGGACCGGCTCTGAGCAGCTTAGACCAGCTATGACAAGCCAAGACCAGATATGAGTAGCTTAGACCAACTCTGACCAGATTGGACAAGCCAAATCTACTTATGACTAGCTTAGTCCAGCTCTGACCAGCTTGGACAAGCTATGACAATCCAAGACCAGCTATGACTAGCTTAGACCAGCTCTGACCAACTTGGACAAACTACGACAAGCCGGGTCTCGTTATGACTAGCTTAGACCAGCTCTGACCAACTTGGACAAACTACGACAAGATAAGTCTCGTTATGACTAGCTTAGGCCAGCTCTGACCAACTTGGACAAACTACGACAAGCCAAGTCTCGTTATGACTTGCTTAGGTCAGCTCTGACCAACTTGGACAAACTACGACAAGCCAAGTCTCGTTATGACTAGCTTAGACCAGCTCTGACCAACTTGAACAAACTACGACAAGCCAAGTCTCGTTATGACTAGCTTAGGCCAACTCTGACCAACTTGGACAAGCTATGACAATCCAAGATCAGTTATGACTAGCTTAGATCAGTTTTGACCAGATTGGACAAGCTATGACAAGCTAAGTCTAGTTATGACTAGCTTAGTCCAGCTCTGACCAGATTGGACCAGCTTTGACAAGCCAAGACCAGCTATGACTTGGACAAGCTATGACCAGCTAAGACCAGCTTGGACCGGCGGTCTGAGTCAAAACACTTGGGTCTCCTTGTTAAAAACTGACCTTGTGTTACAACCTGACTCAACGGGGTGTCAAGTAATTCTCATAACTACCTATAGTGTAGTCATTCATGGGGGTGCCTGGTTATTCCATTACATCGCTTAGAAACTGGTGTCGCATTAATCATTAGCTGTATGAAAAAAATCCTGTTTTTCAGAAAAAAATAATAGGATTCGCGCTCGACATGAAGTAGGCTTCTACAGGAGTACATACGGCAATTAAGTTTTCACACGTAAAAAAAGTTTTGAAGGAAACTCTATTATTAGAAAGAATATTTGAAAGACTATTGTATCTAATATCATCAACTTAGAGGTTTTCATTTAATGGACATAATTGATTTCAATATTTAATTTTCAAGATCAATTTTTAAAGAATATTACATACTTTTTATTTCTGCTTTAGTCTTTTCTAATACCACCCATTATCAGGCCATTTCTGGCTCGTCGATATGGTGTAATGTTTAGCAAGCTTGTATCGATAGAACAATTAGAGTGAGTTGTTAGTTCGATCCTCAGTTGGTACCACCTACTTTCGGCTTTGTGCCACATCTAAGCCACGCTTAGAAAACTCTCCATCGTCAGGAACTTAATTAGTCCATTAAAATTATCGGAATTTGAATAGCCGCGAAAGGCTTATGGAGAATTCCTTGGACTCAATAGATTTTTATTTGAAGGTCATACTCACTTTACCTGTTAACCAATTAAAAAAAAATAAAGGTAGCTGTAAAAAAAATCTATATCTTGAAATAAGTGCTTCTTTGCTGAGGAGAAGAAGAGAGTGGGTGTTCATAAAAAAAGAAAGACAAAAAAAGAAGCTCTCAGCAAAGCGGAAATAACGCTCTCCCATCATGCACCTCGACTAAAGACTATTTCCATATTGGTTGTTTCAATTTAAATTTCTTTTTTCCGCCTCCGAGGATCGGGTAGCCGGTGAGGGCGTTTATATCATTTTTATTTTCGGCAACAATGCCAGCTATTTTCCTTTGTGTAGATATCGAAATTAGTGATAGCTTTTACAGGCAGGGGGGCGTCCGCTGCTGATTCGCGCCAATCGCAGTTGTCTACGAACTTTGCGTCCGGGTGAATATATATTGGCGCGAATCGAAATAGCAAGGATTTATTATAGAGTATATAAATGAATAGACACGTCTGTAATTGACATGTGTACGAGTCAAAACTCAAAAGTAAAACATGTGTGTGTGTGTGTGTGACAAAAACAAAAGGTATACGGTTCATGCAAATATTAGTAACCGTGATGACGTCATTCAAAATATTTACTCAAGGTTATGTCTTCATGTATTTCGAGATGATCCATTGCACCTGCGCAACAATGGAACAAGTGAAGACGGTTAATAAACATCTTTCTTTTTTTCTCAGTCTATTGATATCTGACACAATCACCTCATATCTATCTATCTATCTATCTATCAAAATCACATCTATCTATCTAAATCAATTCATATCTATCTATCTATCTATCTATCTATCTAACAGAATCACATCTATTTCAATGATATCTATCTATCACAATCACTTCATGTCTATCTATCACGATCACATCAATCTCAATCACATCTATCTAAATCAATTCATATCTCTCTCCCTCTGTCTCTCTCTCTATCTATCAGAATCACATCTCTCTCACTCACATCTATCTATCTATCTATCTATTACAATCACTTCATATCTATCTCAGTCACATCTATCTCTCTCTCTCTCTCTCTCTATATATATATATATATATATATATATATATATACATCAATCACATCTAATTCAATAACGCCAATTTTTGTATCTCAATCACATCTATCTATCTATCTATCTATTTCAATTAGTTCATTATCTACCTACCTATCTACCTATATATCAATATCACATCTATCAAAATCAGTTCATATCTATCTATGTATCTAACAGAATCACATCTATCTCAATGATATCGCTCTCTCTCTCTATCTCTCTCTCTCTCTCTGTATATGTATATATATATATGTATATATATATATATACCTCAATCACATCTATCGCAATAACGTCAATTTTTGTATCTCAATCACACCTATCTATCTATCTATCTATCTATCTATCTATCTATCTATCAGTTCATTATCTATCTATCTATCTATCTATCTATCTATCAGAGATATATTATTTATGTATAAAGACATGCAATTTGTTAAAATCACTACATGGTTGTCTGTTTCAAAATGAGACGACTGCATCGCCGTCCAATAATTACCACGTCACTGACACCACATGGCGCATTCGCCTATGACGGCCGGAAATCAAGGTGCGCAGAATAAAGACATCGACAGGTAACAATGAACACCGACCCATCTCAATGACATCATTTAGCCGTGACCACAGCGGCGCTAAACTCATAATTAGGAAAAATTACTGAAGGGAAACAGTTTCGAGACAATAACGCAGATTTCCTTCTCCGTTCATGTACAATATCCATTCAGAACGGGGGGAGATTAGGGAAATGATGACGCTGAGAATGATCGTTTCCATTCAGGAAATATTCGGCAGTTGTTGACTGAAAAGTTAACTGTCGGGCTGAATCTGTTTTAATAAGTTCTTTGCTCTTAAAACAGATTTTTTTTTCAGGAAATTGGACTTGTCAAGTTCAATAATTGTTATCACTGATTCTGGTATTGACCAGAGTCTCATTCCTAACATTTTCTTTAAAGTAGATTGTAAATCCACGTGTTGATGGTGCCATTATTTTCCATTCTAGTAACATGTCCTAGCCATTTCGGTTGTTGTTACTGGTAAATACAATATCCCGGTGCACTATCTGAATGAGTGAAGAACAGACATTCTTTCTTTCTTTTTTTCTTTGTCTGTTTTATCTATCTATCTATCTATCTATCTATCTATCTATCTATCTATCTATCTCACTTCAACTATATCTGTGTTTTTAAGTATCTATCTATCTCACTTCATATATATATATATATATATATATATATATATGTGTGTGTGTGTGTGTGTGTGAGTGTGAGTGTGTGTGTGTGTGTGTGGTTTTAAGTATTTATCTATCTATCGATCTCTGTGTTTTTAAGTATTTATCTATCTCACTTAATATATATATCTTTTTTAAATATCTATCTATCTCACTTCATATATCTATCTCACTTATATATATATATATATATATATATATATATATATGCATACATATACATATATATATCCCTGTTTTTATCTCAGATATATATATATATATATATATATATATATATATAATATAAGTTTTAAGTATCTGTCTCACCTCATATATCTGTTTATCTATCTTTCTCACTTCCTATATATATTTTTTTTATCTATCTGTCTATCTATCTATCTCTTCCTATCTATATTTATTAGGTATCTATCTATCTATCTCTGTGTTTTTAAGTATCTATCTCACTTCATTATATATATATATATATATATATATAATAAGTCTAAGTATCTATCTATCTAATTCAATCTTTTCACACCTGCCTCACATGTTGATTAGATCATTATTTTCCCTTCTATTTCGAAGTCATCGATCGTTGTGCTGTTTATTTCTCATTCTGTAGCTTCAGAATATGAAATCTTACGAAGGATCCGCTTCTTAAAACCTAATTTTTTGGGGCTCAGATCAACTGATGAATTATTGAATTGAGTAAAACATCAAGTAATGAAGATACATGTCTAATTTAATCAGCATCCTAGCTGGGCCTAAAAATAAACAACAGATAATTCGAATCTAACATCAGTAAATAAACGTTTAATTTTTTTCTCAACGGTGTTCACTTTGTACTAGCCTCAAGAGCCACTCGAGGTAGAGGATTACAGTGTAAGAGGTAGAGTTTTGGGGGACATATGCGGAAGATAAATGGCAAAACTAGATTTGAACATGTCTTGCGAGTGATGCTATTGTTGTCGCTGACTCAAAGTTATTTAAAAACAAATAAAAAGACTATTGCAAGACTTGAACCCAGAACTCATGGTCAGAAAACTAACATTTTAACCACTCAGCCACGCACCGACATATTTAGATATATAGGAAGTGATAGAAGTGAGACGATAATACAGGTATAGCAGGTCTTTTTCTTACAGTAATGTTCCCCCTGTAAAAGGCACAAGAGCAACTCAAGTTAGAGGGCTACAGAGTAAGACAGTGCTGTTGATGCTGCTGCTTGTTATACTTTACTTCATTTACCAGAGTTAGCAAACGCTTGATGAACCCCAACGGACACACCAGCCGAAATGGAAAGTATAAGGACATATAATGACAGTGTAAATAACGTTGAATTCATTCATTCATAGAAGTTCAAGTAAATTATGCCTAGAAGAAAATGTATATATAATAATTGTTAATATTCAAGTCAAAATATTAAACAAAAGAAATGAAGTAATGGGTAAATGCAGACATTTTAAGAATATCTACTTTTCAATTTAAACACTAATAAAGCATAAATTTCATAAATTTTAACAAATACCTAATGTTAATTTTGATATATATATATAGATGGAATCATATATATATATATATATATATATATATATATGAAAATAAAAAAGTACAAATAGATAACAATCATAATCTATCAGGCTTCAGTTTATTAAACCAAACATCAAGACAGAAATTATAAATTGGCAGAATCCTGTCGATAATGGATCTATATTTGATCTTCTATTCACACACACACACACACACACACACACACACATCTTATATATATATATATATATATATATATATATATCTGAAGATATACGGATATATAATTTTGTATAATTTTATAAATCAACAAACAGTATTTAGAAAGATATGACAAACTGGAAAAGCTTTATCATTTTATGAAATCCTAAAGGATGAAACGCGTCACAAAACGTTTTCTAGTTTGTCATACTTTTCTAAATATATATATATATATGTATACATACATACATGCATACATACATACATACACACACACACATATATATATATATATATGTATATATATATGTATATATATGTATGTGTGTGTGTGTTTGTGTGTTAACATGTGTATGTGTCATAATATTAGAATCGTATAATATAATTAAAATTAAATTTAAATAATAGAAATTAAATATCAATAATTTTTATTTGAAATATACAATTTAATATATATTAGGTTGGTGCAAAAAATAATGACGTAATAATGTCGTTTTTTGAGGTATTTTTTAACGTCAAAAAATGACATCATAGACATTCATATATATATATATATATATATATATATATAAAGAACAAAAATGAAAAATAATGAAAATACATAAATTATAATGATTAAAAATAATACACAATGAAAAATATACAATAGAAAAATAATTCCATGATAAATTATGAATTTATGAGCGAGCGCGAGAGAGAATGAACATACACGCATGTTTCTTATTGGAAGTCAACTCTTGAACAAATTGATGGACACGCGAGCCAAAATCTTAAATGTAATATAAAAAAAACCCCCAAAAACTGACATTTATATAAAAAATAACATTTATATAAAAATCTGTTGTAAAGTGGACATGCACCACGAAACGAAACGAGTTGTCAGGAGAAGAATTCAAAATAATTCAAGTACGGATGTTAATTTATAGCAAGTAAATTTTTTAGTTTAATATATATATATATATATATATATATATATATATATGACAAATTGAAATTTTTTTTAGACGCGTTTCATCCGTTAGGATTTCATCGGACTGGGCTTTGTTGACGTTGTCACGTCTGCACATGCGCTCGAAACGAGAGACGCTGGTAGTTTCAAAGTTTTTTGAAGGAATATTTCTGAAAGAATTTTTTTTTCTCAATCTATCCAATTTCATCTATAATCTTTTTTTTTTCCTATCCATCCACTTTGTTTTTGACTTTCCCACACAGTGAAAACAGAAAATCTACCAAGAATGGTGATATATTGTAAGAGCTAGGAAGCAAATTTATTGCGACTGAACAAGCGATCCACGCACTTTCCAGACATATTTCGTCTCAGTGGATTATCTTCACTTTCAATCATATATATATATATATATATATATATATATATATATAAAGAAATTGATTTGCTTGATATTAGCGTAGGCAATCTGGATATTCCTTGCGTGCAGTTAAGACAGAGTCTTAAATAATTGCTAAAATAAAAGGGAAGTACATGGCAATGAATAGACACCCCATCCTCACCTGAATTTCACCGAATTTACAATAACAATCCACAAACATACAAGAATTAACTTAGAACATGACCACCCCTAAATAATAATAAAAAATTTACCCCATCAACAAAATATTATGGTTGTCTACGTTAAAATTAAGTAAATCAATTTTTTTTAGAAACTTATTCTTAAAATCGCTTGATAGTGGAACGAAACTCTGTATTGTAGATTTAATTTTTAAAATTCATCTAGATTTAGAGTTTTCCTTTTTGAAACATAGGATGTTCTGTTTTGTGATGGAATCATATTTAAAATAATAATAATAATAATAATATATTGACAAAATATAATAATGTAAATATGATTTTATAATTTTATCTAACAATATAGAGAATGAAAAGTACCACGTAAGTAACTGACTTGAAGAAGATGTATGATGGCTGGTTCTAGCAGATTAGAAATTTATGCATATTTCCTTAAAAAAAACCCCCAAAAAACAGTCTTTACAAAAATTATTATATCCGTTTTAATTCTTCCCTCAATAATAATAATAATAATAATAATAATGATAATAATAATTATAATATATTGACAATATATTAAGCTTCACAGATCGATTTGAGCACCATTTTTAAAAAATAAGAATGAAAGCTAATTATAAATACCACTGTTCTTTGCTATTATTTTAAATATAATAGTATATATATATAAAGACATTTTTATGTTTATACGTTCTTTTTATAGATATAAATTTTTAAGTAAATGCTGTGTTTATAATAAACAGTATTAACAACATTTACCGGCCTGAATGTCCGAGAAATTTTCATAAACAATATGCATCCTCCGACAGGAATCGAACCTGTAACCTATACGGAACCGTCATATAGCCTGACGGGCTTTTACCGGTTGAGCCACAGAGGAGCGTCTCAGTTTGCAAGGTCGATTTTACTGTTTTAAAACCCCAATTCTCTAAGATTTTCTCTCATATATTAATATCTGCTCGATGCGTATCCAAATGCAAACAAATGACGTCACACTTTATGAAATAGACAAAGTCCGACTATTATTTAAAAACAGTAAAAATTGACGTTGCTAACCGAAACTCTCCTCTGTGGCACAATTGGTAAAAGCACGTCAGGCTATATGACGGTTCCGTATAGGATACGGGTTCGACTCCTGTCGGAGGATGCATATTTTCTATGAAAAATCCTCGGACATTCAGGTCGGTAAATGTTGTTAATACTGTTAAGCATTTACTTAAATATTTGTATCTCTATCTGTCGGACATCATTTATATATATATATATATATATATATATATATATATATAAAAGTGAACATAGAAGTCAACACTTAGAGGCGACAGTCTGTTTCATGCTATATGCAATCGTCAGGCCACATATGCTGTTATTTTTCTCGGCTATTTATATATATACGGGTTAGTGGTGCATTGTGGGTATTCTATTATAGCGCTTATTTTTTACCGGAAGTCGCTTTGTCTATTTATTGGGTCAAATTATATTGCTCGTTTTTATTTTTATTTTTTCTTATTTTATTTATTTATTTATTAACGTAGTAAAAATTTGTTTATATCACGTATTTAACAGTTTAAGTGTTGACTTCTATGTTCACTTTTATATTTACACACGCTCTATCTCTGATATTGAGCACTTTATCCCATAAATATAGCACACCTTAAGACTATATTTCTTTTATATATATATATATATATATATATATATATATATATATATATACACACTTTTGCTAGCCCAAATGCTACTAAGTTCTTCCCCAGGACTTGTGTGAAACTGAGGTCTGCCTTTCAGGAGCAAAATTAAAGACTTGTATACTTTTATTAAAAATATAATTTGGCTTATGACCAAAGGAAAGAAAGATACTCGTTCTCTTGCCAAATGGTTTTTGATTGAAACGCATGGATGTAAACGGAAATACATCTCGAGATTGCCTTTATCAAACGTCATCCAGATGTATCCAAACGTGTGCTTCATCTTTGGCTCCAGCTACAAATCACGATCCAGTCTATATTGTCCAGTCCTACACTACAATTGGTGAAGCCATTAGCTGTTGTAATGTCACAGGTGTGACAACTCTTCAGGAAATTAAAATTCTGCTTCTCCAATATATTTGTCTTTTGTCTCTCCAAATAAGTTTTTTTTTTTGCTAGCACTGCTAGTCGCTGTTCTGCCGACCAGTTACACAATCTCATTAGATAAGTTATTCTCTCCCTCCCACGGGCACATTTCTCTTGATCCGTGGGTGTCAAATTTTCAAAGCACTTTCTAGAAATTTCTATTGTCTCTTTCTGATTCTAAGCAATTTTCTTCCTTATTTTCCGTAAACCTACATCGTTACTCGCATTTTCCGTCAATAGTATTCTCAGCATCCTTCTGTAGAACGAAATATTTAATGTCTGAATTTTTTTCTTTTTCTGTGAGGAGATTTTCAAGTAGTCATTGCATTAGAGATGGGCCGACATTACTGTTCAGTGCCGAGATTTCTACAGGAGGATGCTGAGGATACCATGGACCGAATATGTGAGCAATGACGAAGTTTTAGAGAAAATGGAAACAAAAAGGAAACTTATACTTAACATCAGGAAGAGACAGTTGAAATTTCTACAGAAGGATGCTGAGGATACCATGGACCGAATATGTGAGCAACGACGAGGTTTTATAGAAAATGGAAACAAAAAGGAAACTTATACTTAACATCATGAAGAAACAGTTGAAATTCCTACAGAAGGATGCTGAGGATACCATGGACCGAATATGTGAGCAACGACGAGTTTATGGAGAAAATGGAAACAAAAAAGATATTTATATTTAACATTTGAAATGTGAGTTGCACATAATGAGGAAAGAAGGCTTAGAAATCTGATACACACGGGGCAGATTAAAAGAATGAGGGCAGAGGAAAGCAGAACGTAATTTACTTGATGAGCTTGAATAAATTGATGGCAGAACAAGGTTTGGGAGAAATAACAAAAAAGACAAAACTTATTAACAGCTACAAGGGACAAGAAGATGTGGAGGGCCACAATCGCCTACGTTTTGAAGTGACACGACACATAATAGAATAATGTTTTGTTTGTTTCTAATTTTTTACTGTTTCTTAATACTTTGCTTAATTTTTGAAAGGCGGAAAATGTGACATTGATCCCGAAAGCGCATTGGAATGATGACTTCCAAAAGTTAAGGAAAGTATTAAGCAATAGTAAAACATTAGAAGCAAATAAACGATTCTTCTTCTTTTATGTGTTGTGCCACTTCAGAACGTACGCTATTGTGGTCCTTCATATGACTAAGCTAACACTTGTCAATTCCGAGAATATTAATATGTAAGAGCCGACTATCACAATTTTAAGGATGATATGGAGACTAAATTATTACAAAATACTAAATGGGTAAACATATTTCTTACGATATCTAAGTTATTCTAAAGTGGAGCTATATATATATATATATATATATATATATATATATATATAAAAACAGAAAGAACAGTAAGATATATAATCCGGTGTTCCTATAGATATTTTTTATTTTTACAAAATAGTACTCAATATATATATATAATTATTTATTTAAAAATATGATTCCAACGTTACATAAGAGTCCTCATGTTTCAAAACAAGAGCCGAAAACTTCGATATAATTATTTGAATTAAATTGAATTAAAGTACTAAGCTCTGTTCCATCTTCAAGCGAAATTTTTTTGCAATAACTTATTCCTGAAATTTACGCGTTTTGTAAGCATATTCATTATTGAAATTAAGATTACTATGGTAACGGCTAGAGCAATTGTTTAAAGAAAAGGGGCGTAAGGTGTTAATAATTTGTATCAATATCTCAGTTACATTCACAGATGTCAAGTCAGGGTAAGGTTGGGGTGTCTAAATTCAAAGCGGAAGATGACATTGTCTAGTCTGGTTAAGTGTCTATGGAGATTTATTTATTTTTTATTTCATTTTTTATTTTTTTCTGAAAGAGTTTTGTGTATCTGAAAAAAACTGTCGTAAGTCGCTAAAATTTGTTTTTTGACGACTTCATAAAGCGTTATCTTTATTTTTTATTTTATATATATATATATATATATATATATATATATATATATATATATATATACGTTTCTGTTACCAGCTTAATATCCTCAATATTGGTCATATATTTGACTCATGATATCTTTCGTTATCTTTCCAGCATCTCTAGTGAAGGATCTATATATATGCTTTCAATATGTAAGATCTGTGGTGGTTATTTATACTCCATATATATATATATATATATATATATATATATATATATATATATATATATATATATAGTTTTGTCGTTGCTCATTATTGTTTTGTCGGTGTATTGTTTAATATATTGAAATGTAATAGTCATCTTTGATAATGGCTTATGTAAGCCGAAAGCTTAGATAGGATTAAAAACATTTATCAATATGGTGACTTTCTTTTGTCTTTCAATTATAATGTTATTAAGCTTATCAGACAATATGAAAGGAATTTACTTAAAATAAATATAAATATAAATAAATAGACAAAACTTTATATTATCTAATGAAATAGGCATCAATATATTCGTTTGTATAATTCAAAAGAGGATATAATCCAGAGAGCTCAATGTAGAACCGGAACAAATATTAATTGAATAATTAAGAAATAGACATCCTTAAGATTCCATCACTATAATTTATTTCCCCAGAAAATATATTTGTATATATATATGTAATACTTAATATCAGGGAGAGATAGTTGAAATTTCTGGGGCATATAATGAGGAAAGTTGGCTTGGAAAATCTGATACACACAGGATTGAGTGAAGGCAACGGTGACAGACGAAAACAATGCATAACATATCGAGCTCTAGGAAATGGATGGCGGAACAGGCGAATAGGGAATTTTTTTTTAAAGCAACAAAGGACAGGAAATTGTCGGAAAACATGATCGCCTACTACGTACTGAAGGGCCACGATACGAAGAAGAAGAAGAAGAAAAAGAAGAGGAAGGAAGAGGAGGTTGAGAAGAAGAAGAGGAAGAAAAAAGGGGGAGGCGGAGGTGGAAGAGGAGGAGGACAAGAAGAAGAAGAAGAAGAAGAAGAAGAAGAAAAGGAGGAGGCGGAGGTGGAGGAGGAGAAGAAGAAGAATAAGAGGAAGAAGGAGGAGAGGAAGAAGAAGAAGAATAAGAGGAAGAAGGAGGAGAGGAAGAAGAAGAAGAAGAAGAAGAAGAAGAAGAAGAAGAAGAAGTAGGAGGAGAATAAGAAAAAGGAGGCGGAGATGGAGAAAAAGGAGGAGGAGGACAAGAAGAAAAGGAAGAAGAAGAAAGAGGAGGAGGAGGTGAAGAAGAAGAAGGAGGAGGAGAGAAGACGAAAAAGAAGGAGGAAGTGGAGAAGAAGAAGAAAGAGGAGGAGGAGGACAAGAAGAAAAGGAAGAAGAAGAAAGAGGAGGAGGATTAGGTGGAGAAGAAGAAGATGAAGAAGAAGGAAGAGGAGGAGGGGGTGGAGAAGAAGAAGAAAGTGGAGGAGGAGGACAAGAAGAAAAGGAAGAAGAAGAAAGAGGAGGAGGATGAGGTAGAGAAGAAGAAGAAGAAAAAGAAGAAGAAGATAACGACTAAATTGCTACCTAATCTCCATAGCAGAACTCTCCTATTGAATTTGTTACAATGTTACTCTGAAGACCCTTTACAAAAAATAAAACAGAATATCTCCAACGGAAATTTCCCCGTTGAAAGAAAAAAAAATCCAAGAAGGATGTTCCGCTGCAAACCGCTTCCCAGTTATTTTTTTTTCGGTCGTCGATAAAACATTGATGAGATGTGCCCCCCTCTCGCGCGATAGGAAGAACGAATTGAATTCTGAAGGTGTCCCCATTTTTACTACAGCTAAAGCCCAAAAGAAAAAAAAAAAAATTTTCAGCAAGAATTTTGCATGCAAGGATTCACTCGTCTGTTGGTTCCTTGAGAAAATTAAAAAAAAAAAAAAAATGAAGCTTCACTTGTTGATATTGACTTGTATAATTTCCGGTATTCTTTAAGAAAATAAAAATTCCAACCTATGCGACATTTTTACATCAACAGACCGGAAATAATCGGTTGATTTTGCATAATTCATGTTCACTTTATATATTAATATGAAAATGCTTGCCTCAGTTATTTACATATGTTTACACGAATGGTACCTTTAAGCAAAATCCTTCTTGTCATAAACTCCTCGAAATATTCATATCATTTCAGTTTCTTATCCAAACGTAAACAAAGCAATTTTCTAAAGCAATAGATTTTTGTTTATTAATTCGACAGATTTTTATCGCTTTAAACGTTATTTTTAGTAGATACTTATATTTGGATAGGAGATCGGCTTAGTTATTATAACAGTATATTTATTTTCATCTTCTGGCCTGAATATTCGAGAAATATCGGTCCGCCTATATGACAGTGAATGATGGGTAATTTCATCTAAGTTGAAGAGGAGACATGAGGCAAAAGACTGACAGAATGGAGTCCTATATTACTATGTAATATCAATCCTCCTATATGGCAGTGAATGTTTCCTCGGAGATGAAGAGGAGACTTAAGGCAACAGAAACAAAGAAAAATGTCCTGAAATGCTATGTAATATCGATCCTACTATATGGCAGTGAATCGTGGACAATTGGTTCGCCGACGAAGAGGAGACTTGAGGCAACAAACAAAGAAAAGAGTTCTGAACTGTTATATAATATCAATCCTCCGATATGGCAGTAAATGCTGAACGATTTCCTCACAGACGAAAAGGCGACTTCAGGCAATAGAAACAAAGAAAAGATTGCTGAAGGGCTATGTAATATCAATCCTCCTATATGGCAGTGGATGCTGAACAATTCCCTCATAGGCGAAGAACAGAACTGAGGCAACAGTTCAGATTATCTCGAAAGGTATATCTGTTAATTTTCGGACCCACAACACAAAGGAAACCATTTCTAAAGAATTAAGTAATTTTATTTTTTAATCCGACATAATTTTATTACTACAAATGTTATTTCTAGTGGATACCTATATATATATATATATATATATATATATATATATAAAATATTTGTATTCATTTACCAAGTAGCCAGTCCTGCTATTGGTTGAAATTTATAAAATCATTCTCTTAAGCACTTTTTTTTATTTTTACTTTTTTGGGAAAACAGGTTTCTCAAGTCCACTAGCTCTTATGGTTCTTTTCAGTACTAATAGGGGTTTCCTTCTTAACCTTTTGTTTGAAGTGATATGGAATATCAGAATATTGATTATGACATTATTTTGTCTTCTAGTTACATGTGCTATCTATTTTACTTGTGGCTCTGTTGGTAATTCTTAAGTGATAGATTGATATATATATATTAAAGGACTGCGGATCATCAGACTTTTACTTCCAATTCTGATGATACGCAGTCCTTTAAAAGGTTTGTGGTGAAATAATTTATTACATGGAACCTTAAAGTGGTCTGTTTTTATGTAAATTATTTGCTCTGGATTTACATTGAGCTCTCTGGATTTTATCCTCCTTAGGTTTACCTATATGGATTACCTAGTTTTTCATAAACTATATATATATATATATATATATATATATATATATATACACGATACGAATGGAGAGGAACCCTGACCAAACATCTCAAGTCAGGGGCACGAGTCGCCACGGAAAAGCGGATCCGCAGAAAGGAAAGTGACATCTCCCAAAAATGCGACCTCAGCAACAGAGATTGTCACTCTGGCATGGGCCCCTACATTCACAGACGTTGATGCTTCAGCCAAAAGGAAAACTCGGATGCTACTCATGGTCTATCCTGACCAACGGAGGCCTACACACACACACACACACACACACACACACATATATATATATATATATATATAAATAAAAAGAAAGAACAGTAAAGTATATAATCCGGTGTTCTTACAAATATTTTTATTTTTACAAAATAGTGCTCGATGTAAATTTACACACGCATTAATATTATAAATTAATTGATTTAAAATATGTTTTTTCCGCTACACTGTTCTAACCATGTTTAAAAAATGGAAGCTAAAAGCCCCGAATTTAATTTTGTAATTAAATTTAAGACATTAATTCCATTTCATCCTCAAGCGTATTTTGGAGTAACTTTTTGAAACATGGTTAGAACTGTGTAGCGGAAAAAACGTATTTTAAATCAATTAATTTATAATATATATATATATATATATATATATATATATATATATATATATGTGTGTGTGTGTGTGTGTATTCGAATTCTGGAAGCCCTCTATATCAAAAGCAACCAAGTAACACTGAACAAAATTTATTATGAGTATAGTAGCAATATTTTAAAATGCATTTGAATTCTCTAAAAGTTAACACCATGTTGAAATTTACCGTCTTCGATTATGTCCCTTGCAATGGGAACGTTTAATTAGAAAACATTGTAACCACAGCGGTTAATTTTAAAATAATTATATGCAGAGTGCGTTCGCGCGTGTTTGCTAAATCACTATCACAACGATTGCAGTTACATTAAGTTTGTCTTCGCAATTCTCCCTGAAGATGACCTCGGAAGAGGTCGAAAGCAGTCGGGTTAGCAAAAAGTACTGAACCTTCCTTGATTAATTTCAACTATCATCAAGAACAAAATTAGAGAAATATAAAGGATTATTATCGACATAATATTTTTTTATGAAACATGCTAGAGTATATATATATATATATATATATATATATATATATATATATATATAAAAAAATTGTCCAAATCGTGTAACAGCATGGAATAATTGTCCATCCCACAAAATGTTTACTATCTAAAAACTATTAAACTACTTGAGTTTATGTTTCCAGGTTTTCAAATAAGACATTTAGCGACACAGACACCAGTTGGAAGAATCAAAGCCTTTGAGTTATTCAGCTAGAAAGAGAACATGTTAAAATCGTTATGTGTCATGTTTTGGCTTTCATCTTGAAAGCCCATTCAAAAACCGCCAAGATAACGGTGAATAAGTTTAAATATGAGGGAACAGTAGAGAGGAAATTTGGATCAGGAGGCCATAACAGCAAGAGAGTTCATCATTTCAACTTAAAGCTAAATACATTATTATAACTCAAAATAGAATCCAATAGTTTTGTGAAAACTACGGAGAATTCCAGTAAGATATCTTTAATCATTTCTAAGATACAATGTTTCAAAATTTAATATAATTGGACAGATTTTTGCTATACCATTTCGACAATTTTGCTGTTACATTTGATATATATATATAATTGTGTATATGTAGGTAGCAAATTTTCATTCAAAGAGGATTTAGATATATCATGTCGATTAGTTTCAATTTCGCTGATTAATTTCTTTGTAGACTTAGAAAATTGATTAAAAAATGCCAAAAAATAACATATACATACAATGCGATGGTGTCTCTATGAGTTCGACCCTTGGACCATTATTTAGCCATTTTTACATGACTAATTTAGAAAACAATGCACTTAATACCACAAAAGACCCTCCATTTGCCGAAGATATGTAGATGACATTCTCATTTTAGTTAATATTTGAGGAAACTTGAAACAAGAAAAATGTTTGTTGCTAAATTTTTTTCTCTTCTTTCCAAAGATTTTAGAGCTAAACGTTCTCAGGTTTTCTTTTTTCAATCGTCAATAATAACAATAGCAATAATAATAATAATAAGAAGAAGAAGAAGAAGAAGAAGAAGAGAACGGCCGGGGGGACTGTTATTAAAGACCACAAACAAAAACGGTGCCTCCTTATTGATATGACAGTCCCTGCTGACTGCAATGTATCTTTGAAGATATTCAAAAAGTTGTCAAAATACAAGGACCTTGAAATAGGTATCTCCAAAATGTGGCATATGGGAACATCAACAATCCCTGTTGTAGTTGGAGCCCTAGGACTGGTTGGAAAAGAGTGCAGTAGACTAATTGAAGGGATTCCTGGAAGTCCATGCCTCAAAGAGATACAAAAAATTGTTATAAGTACAACCCACACTTTACGAAGGGCTTTATCTATGTAATTTGTTGTTTTTTTTTGGTCAGTGGAAAGTGTCATGATGCCATTTCTAACCTTAGGTCCCCAGGCGGGACCCGGAAAGAAATGTGTAAACGCCAGAAATCAAAGAAAATAATAATAATAATAATTTTTTTAATGACAGAACAATCAAAGCCAACCGCCCAGATATTGTTATTAAAGACCACAAACAAAAACGATGCCTCCTTATTGATATGGCAGTCCCTGCTGACTGAAATGTATCTTTGAAGATATTCAAAAAGCTGTCAAAATACAAGGACCTTGAAATAGAAATCTCGAAAATGTGGCATATGCGAACATCAACAATCCCTGCTGTAGTTGGAGCCCTAGGACTGGTTGGAAAAGATTCCAGTAGACTAATTGAAGGGATTCCTGGAAATCCATGCCTCAAAGAGATACAAAAAATTGTTCTCACAAGTACAGCCCGCACTTTACGAAGGGCTTTATCTACGTAATTTTTTTTTTTTTTTTTTTTTTTTTTGTCAGTGGAAAGTGTCATGATACCATTTCTAACCTTAGGTCCCTGGGCGGGACCCGGAAAGAAATGTGTAAACGCCAGAAATCAAAGAAAATA